TTTTTAAGTGGGAGAACTTGCACAATTGGTGGCTGACTAAATACTTTCTTGCCCCACTGTATTTTCATGATTTTTTTGTTTTTTAAGGGGCACAATACCTTATATTTCCTCATTTTACCCTTTAAGATCTAACCAATCCCCTGAAAAACTTTTAAAGAACCTTGAGTCATATTCATTCTCGTGATTTCCTTGTTTACTTGCTCTTCTGTCTGCTGAGCTAAATCAAACCAACCAAACCAGATAAAAACAATTGGCAATGTCTTCTTTTTAGCAGCAGAGGGAGGTACAACTCTGCAGCTCATTAGAGTAGAATTCTGCTGTTACTAAACATCACACAAAAATGAGAAAATGAAATTAAAAACTAATAAGAAAATAGGAAATTGTAGAAGGAAAAAAAAGGCTCCACTCACTTTGTACATGTTGTACAAAGCCCATTACAGCTTTTGAGCAAAAAGAAGATGTGCATTTCTGTTTTATAATATGCACACTAGTTCTTTTGAAACTGCACAGAGAATGGAGTCATAGAGTCAGTTAAACCTTTCCTCAGATGAAATCCATCAATCACAATAGTTTGATTTCAATACAGAACAATTATATACATACATACATGCATGCCTATCAAGTTCTTCCTGTTCATGAAAAGGATTGGTATGCAGAATCCACAAAAAGTATAATAAATAGTAAGCCCAAAAATTAAAATGTGAGATAAGAAAACTAGCTAAAATTACTCTGCAAATGTAATATTCCCTTCATCTCCATACCTTTCTAGCCTTGGAAAACGCATTCATCTTCTACCATATCCTTACATAGGTTCATATATTGCTTTCTGTTCTTTAAACTTCTCATCTCTTTCTTTCTGAGAATCTCATCAATTCTATACAACCATATTTATTTTGGAGTTCCCCTTCCTCTTGACCAGTTCACTCTTCCTTCATATATTTGTTTCACAACTTGATTTTCATTCAGTCACCCTATATAAGCAAATCACTTCAACGTATTTCTTTCATACTTATAATTAATAATCCAACATAGGCCTTCACTCCAATGCATATATTTCTAAATTCCAAATCCATAATCTCAGATCATCTTCCTTCATACTTATTTCATTCTTATCTTTTCTCTTATGTTTCACCAACATGCAACATATATACTTTTCTCTTTTATTTGTTGATTCACATTTTTAGGTCAGTAGATACCCATCTTATATTCCAATTTGTAATCTTCTATACACTATGGTCATGACCTAATGGAATCTTAAATCTACCATAATTTGTTCATATAACTTTTTTTAGTAAGAAAAAGTGTAATGTGGTTACCAGCCTCAACTGCACTCATCTCACTAGCAGCATCTCCTGTTAATAGTAAGGACAGGATGTTTTCAGCTCCAGCTCATTTTGCTTCAGAATTCCAGTTTTACCATAAGCATGTTCACACTATAATATGCAAGACAGAGTCTCTAAATTAGAGATTGCAAGCTAAAATACTGTTGCAAGCATCCCACCAGCCAGAAGGTACATGCAGTGTACAGACACACACTGAGAAAGTTATAACAACCCTATTAAGTGAATAAATAAGTGAATAAAGAAATGTAAATATAATTTCTGTAACTGACTTTACATCAGCTTTCCAACTACTTTCTAGTTTAGCAAATACGAATTACATAGAATTAGCATATTTACAAATCCTGTTTGCCTTGTTGCCTATATTGAAAGAAAATCAAATACAGATTACCAGATAGAAAAGTTTCAGCAAAATTACAAAAGGTTTTAAAAAATAAAATCATACTCAATGTGTGATCTATTTTTGGTCTAGCAAGCCAGTAAACCATCCATATTTGGAAGGATGGCAAAGATACTAGCTTTATTTTGAGAAGAGTGTACCAGCTGAGCAACTACAATACTTACTCAAAACCTCCTCATTTAAGGTCAGTTTATATGATACAGAACAAAACTATTTAACACTATTAATTCACTTATCCCCCTTTAGACTCCAAATACGGCAGTACTATGCATTTGCTGATATATTATCCCCTTTCAGGTTTTCAGTGTAAGAACGTGGCAACACTGTTATATTAAATTTCAAAATTTGGCAGCAATGGAACCACATCCAATTTGGGAATGCAATAAACACTGCTTTTCAGACATTTGAAAATGTACACCTAATAGGGCTGTGCAATGTATGGGAATATGCAAGCGCTTGAAGGGCAGTTTGAAACTTAAAGCAATCATGCCTTTTCCTGGGATCATGCAGCAGCATTAAGTCATGGTTGTTTTAGAGAGCTGCACAGGCAATCTGTTTACACAGTCCTATACCTAATAACTAAACTGAAACAAAAAGAGATGTGCATTTTGTTTTTGTTTTCCTCCCAGCAATCAGCTGTGATACTTTTAAAACTGAAATGATTAATATAGCAATCTCAGCAAACAGCAAGCATCTCCTCTAACCATTGAAATGTAGGTTGAAGTACTATTTTAATTAGTATATACTGAACTGACATCTACAGCTTCTGCACTCCTGCACACCAGTTTCAACTTAATATCACACACAGAGTTAAATCTCCTTATTTATTATTAAATGTATATGCCACCTTTGTGTTTTTATCAACACTCAAGGCAGCTAACAACAGTAAAGAATAAAAAGTATAAAATAAAACTAAACACAATACAATTAAAATTAAAATCAGTCATTAAATAATTAAGAAATAAAAGCTTGGCAGAAGAGATGTATTTTTTACCATCTTCCTAAATAATGGGAGAATAGGGGCCAAA